TCAAGAGTTGAAGCATTAGTTGTCATAACTGGGGCAACACTTGAGCTTGAATTTGATGAAGAGCTTGATGATGAGCGGGGAGTTGAGGAAGCGGAGTCGTCTTCATCAGCTTCGTGGGTAAGATGCAGCTTATCTCTTCTAATCACCTCGTGCAAAGGAGTCGTCTCCGAAGATGCTTGCAGTTGCTTGGCCATGCTTCTTGTAACGACGCCGAGGTTGGAGCTTGAAGAACTTGCTGAAGGAATCTTGACTATGGCGACCTTGCGGCTAGTCATGATGATTTGAGGAATTTTGAAGAAGAGATGAGAGGTAGAGAAGTCCCACCGGGCGTGCCAAAAATTTGTAACAACAAATTTCGTGTATTGAATTTATAAACACGAAAAATATTATTCAAATGAATTTCTTGAATCAAAATAATATAGCGGGTTACAATCTCTAATTTTCTCCTCTGATTCTTCTCACGAACAATTTTAAGTCTTGGAGCGAAATCTTCGGCTTGATCTTCTCCTTGACTTGATTTGACTTGAATTAACGTTAATCCGAGGGCCAACGCCTTGATTTCGGATCAAACGTCGAAATATCCCAAGAACGCGAAGAACACGAATTCTTGGTCTTCGTCGCAAAGTAGATCTTGAATCTTCTTCACGCCGGTTTTGAATTTACTAACGTTATTCGGAGGCTTTGCAGCTTGTTTCCGGATTGAACGCCAGTCTTGAGGTTGAATGCGCTTGAATCTTGCTTCGAATCTTCAAGAACGCCTTTGAATCTTCAAGAACACTTGAATCTCGTCGAGAGAATTCTCTAGAGCTCTTGAACTTTGAATATGAAATATGATGTGTGTCTTTTTGACATTAGGGAGAGCCCCTATTTATAGGTGTAGGATGGAGAACCCTACCAAATTTAAGAATCGTAGGACACGATTTGATTGGTCCATGATGATTCACATAAGATCTTTTAGATCTACTTAGATCTTCCAAGATCTTCTAGATGTCATATGATTTATTACCAAGAATTAAGATTTGACACTTGGCATTATTTGATTGGTCAAGAATTAAAATATTAAAATATCAATTAATTAACTATTTAAATTTAGGAATTAAATTTATGGAAATTCCTAAAATATAAATAGAAAATATGACTTGATTTTTAATAAATTAATTTCCACGTGGCGCCATTTGATTGGCCACAAATTTTATGTCTCTACATCCTCATTAATTGAATAAGACCACTAATTTTCTTCCTCTTCGTGCAAGGTATTTTTAGCCTTTTATTTTTCTTAAAAAAGCTAATTAGCGGTTTTAGAGATGTATTGTTCATATAGTTTTGAAGACCTTCTTCACTATATTCTTATAGTTTTGAAGACATTCTTAACTAAAAATATATGTCACGTGCCGTACAATTCCATCATCACCTTTTTGTTGAATTTCTTTTTCTAATAGAAAACCGGTTCGATAAGCATATCTATAATATATGCGCGTGTTCATGAAAAACTTCATAGCCTCTTGTCGGGCAGCACGCAACTGGTGGTGAAACAGTTCCTTGTGATTTAGGAGTATCTTTGTCGTAGTGTCTATAGAATGATACTGATGTTGAAGTACATTTGACATAGATGTTAGAATGTAACACTTCGCCATCTCATTGGCCTTTTTTCCACTTAGCATACTCCTTATTCTCTGGGTTTGTTACCGCCTGATCGGGCACTTTAGGACAAGCGTCAGTTCTTTAAAATTTGTGCCCTTCAGCAGTTAACACTATATCTAAGTTCCTTTTCCAATCAATGTAACTAGGACCAATAAGTTTGTTTTCTTTGAGAATTACGGACAATATGTTGAAAGACATTTTGAATTCCACGAATCATGCAAAGTAAGTTTTACTCAGTCAAGTCTTCGAATTTAAGTCTTAAATATTAATCCCTTTTAACAATATTTAATTAAATTCACCGATACCTCTAAACACCGAATTCCCGTAGGTCACGAAGTGTGGACGTCTACGGTTCATACCGTCTAAAGAGGAGGGTTTAATTCCATTAATTAACATGTCGATAAATCAACACTTAATTAATAGTGCGCCCACCTTTTGGCTCGTGCAGAATAAGAATGAAATTTTCCTGTTGGAAATCATAACTACTTGTACTTTAAGTGTAACCCATTACTTGGTACCACGCTTACTACCAAAATTGTACGTCTACCTTTGGGTGATCCGTACGCTTTTGAAATAGCATACTATAACCATCCTGTAGGAAATTTGTCTTTGTGAACTGTGATAAAAAATTGTCCTTTAGGAGGAAGGCCCTAATGCCAACACACAATTTAGAATCACTTCACTGACAAATTTATAATGGAGGTTGTCGATAAAATTTATTTCATTCTATTAACACTTAATATGTTTTAAATTAAGGGATTTTCCTAAGCATGCTCCTAATAATTTTCTTGCGCATAAAGCAATTAAATTAATCAAGGACATGCATAATTAAAGCCAAAAATTAACTAGGAATTAAATCCAACTATCATGGCCATTTAATTATTCTTTCAATCCATCTTGGAGAATTACAATCCTTGTCCTTGTAGAATTGCGTCTTCGTTTCACTCAACCCACAGGTCGACAAATGAGCCGACAAATGCAGGGAAGAAAGTGCCGACCACAAGTTCGACAAGAAACGCCTGCCCCACCATGTTCGACTTGAGCAAAAAGAGGCCCCATGTCGAAGGGCCGGAGAAAAGGGTCACCCCCCCTCCCGCTGACGTCTGATGCCATGGTCAAGGACGTGACTTCCAACCTCATGTAGGCTCTGCCTGCTGATGACACCGCCTACTAGGGGCCCGATCATAAGGCTCAGTGCAATTACGCCGCACGGGCTGTGACGTAGGTAAACTCCGGACTTCGACCTCACCTAAGCCTAAAACATTTGACCTCCAATCCTTCATATGGTTTTGACCGCTTATTTTTGTTATCTGTATTTAGACTCCTGCCTCCGTGGTACCCCTACTTGAGGCCGTCCTATCTTCGAGCTGGAAAAGAAAGTCAGGCGCCTGCTCGAGGAGAATCGACAGCTGACCTAGGTAAGGCATGACTTGGCTCATCATCTAAAGAAAGACGGTCTCCATCATAAGGATGAGCTCAAGGCCAAGGACATCGAGCTTGAACGGGTGGTCACCCAGCGTAAAGAGGATGTGGAGAGGGCCTCCATAAACTCAAGGCAAGCTCGACAACAACTTCTCACGACAAACATCGACCAGAGATTTCTGAAAGAGTATCCCCAGTAAGTGGTTTATGACTACTATCTCAAATCGGTTGCCTTTCTTCATAAAAGCTTGCCACTGGCAGTGGAATACTACAATGTCGACATAGACAAGGCCGAGAAACAGGCTCATGTCCTGGATTTCAATGGCAGATTCGACCGCGATGCCATTTGGGAGGCTTTACCTAATGTTCCCACTTGCTTTGAGGGCGATCCTACCCTTTCTCCAAATCACGTCTGGTGGTCGAAAACCTTGGCGCAGACCCTTTCTCAGTTGAAGTTGTTAAAGACGCATTTCGACCTCCCCAAGCCGGGTGTCTCTCCCATTCTCCAGATTTCTCTGACCCAAGGGGAATAGTCGGCGAATCCTGCGAACCCGTTTCTTTAGGTATCGATGGTGGCACCTCGGGCCAAACTGTCGAGTCTCCTGCCTCCTCAACCGGCGTTGAGCTGACCACGACTACCACTACAAGAAATCTGCCAAAACGTGACGAAAAAACAATCGTCACCATATGTTGCCTTATGGTGACGAATTTAAAAAATCGTCATGTTTTCTGAAATTTCTTGTAGTGTACCGACCTGACCTCCGAGACCGAGAAAGCTCATGATGCTCCTCAGTAGTCTTTGTAGTTTATTGATGTAATTTTCTCTTCTGATTTTTTTTTTCTTTTTCTTTTTCTTTTTTTTTTTTTTTTTTTTTCTGTGCCAAACGGCTTTTCAANAATCAGCCTTTTAACATTCTTATTTATGTTTGAATGAATTATTTACCATTTTTCTATTCGTGCTTGTGTTACTATCGACCTACCGTTGAGGTCTTATAACATATCCAAAATTACTTCCACACAGTATTGCTCTGAAAACTAAAAATTACGCCATGTAAATATTCAACTTGATCGACCTTCCACTAAGGCCTCCCATATTAATTTCACAATAATATTGTGTAATAAAAATTATGCTAAGTAAATTACTTTTTTATTCGACCTGCCAATGGGGCCTTCAAACTTTGTTTATGATAATCGGATATTTGAGTAAAAGTTAAACTAATTACTTGACCAGGCAGTGAGGTTTTCATTATTTGTTCGCTATTGAAAATTTTGTTATTTTGACCCTGTAGTTACTTTGATTAATTAACCTTTCCCTAAGGTCGTCGTGTATGGTATATCAATCTGCATCACCCCCCTTTTAATGTTGATCCCTCATCAGGATTTGGACTAGGTGTTGGTCCTTTGCTTTCCAGTTCTTCTGCAACCCCTCACTTGGATCGACCACCCTACCCGGAGGCCTTAATCATGGTGAATTTTGCATTGAACTCTTCCCCAAACCGTCACTAACGTTGTTCAAACAAAAGAACACCCAGCTCGAAGACCTTAGTCATTGTGGATTTTGCATTGAACACTTGTCCAACACACAACTGGGGTGGTTCAAATAAGTTAATGTAAAGTGTAAATAATAACATTGATAATACTGAGAATAGTAAGATTGAGTTAAAATTACTTTAAATATGAGTTAAAAATTGATTGGTTAAAAACAATTGGATTATTTTGAAAAAATTGGTATCCAAACATGCACCAAGAATTTTTTAGTTTTTAATTCCTTTTTTTTTCGAAACAATAGAGAATATTATAAATCAAAACACACAAATGTGCAATGTACACAGCCCCTAACTGAATAGTACAACCAACAACTGAAAATTGGGAGGACAGGTCAGAAGACCGCTAGAACCAACCTATCAACGTTAGAAAACAAACTCAAAACAACAAATTATTGAAATAATATAATATTATTAAGGAGTGGACTCAAATATTAAATAAAACGTAATAAATAAATAACGGTAGAGAGTGCAAACAGTCTTTTTTGCTCAAGGACTCGCACAAAAATGAGAAGTGGTGGAGCGATTTAAGACTGATATTATTTATTATTTTTTAAGACGGATATTATAACTTTCTCCTCATAGTTACGACATCAATTTGTCACATCTATTCACTCAGGTAATAACTTCCTTTCATATAAATTACAATCAACCATTTCAGATATGTGTTTTATTTGTTATGTATATTCTCCAAGTATCTCCTAAAAGTTAATCGGGTACTTGAGCTGCTTGTCTGGCGTAAAGACCCCAAAGTTCTTCTCGTATTCGGGACTTTTCTGATTTTCATCGAACATCGCAAAAACGTAGGTCTCAATCGGCTCTCCAGGTCGTTTAGGTGTCCCACTTTTGACACGTTGAATCATATTCGTCAAATAAGTCTTCGCATAATCGAAAGTAGTCGTGTCCCCTCCAGCCGAAGGCCAACCGCTCTCAGACACCACTATTCTCACAGTCGACCCATTGATTTTTTCCAAAGCCGCATAAATTGAATCAACAATCGCATAGAAAAGATTCTGATACCTCACGCCAGAAGGCATAACGACCCCACTAGACGTAAAAAGCGCATAATCAAGAGAAATTTGTGCCTTATTGTTAATGTAAGCGAAATAAGGGTACACATTGACAAGCAACGGCCCACTGTTGTCGACCAAGAATCGAACAATTGGAGTGATGTACGGAAATACATCTGATCCGAATGTCCCGTTTTCTGGAGGATACGAGTTAGCAATAAGTCCCGTATCTATAACAGTGGAGACTTTTATCTCGAGATTAGCTGTCGATACAGATTTGTGAATATTTTGCATGGCGAGAAGAACAGAGGCTCTTTGGGAAGGGTCGACTTCGTTCCCAACTGCAATATATTTAAATTTTACGTTAGTAAAGTTGTTTATGTTTTTCTGGACCCAAGCATCGGCGTTTGCTTGGGAGGCTGCTAAGTATTGGAGATCGGAATTGGGAATGCCGAGGATAACGTCAATGTTGGAATCTCGAAGGGCTTCTAGAGCGGGTTGACTCGGGTCAAAGAGCCTCATCATTGTAATGTTGTGTTGTTTGTATAGAGCCACAACATCAGATGCTGGAGGCAAGTTGTTACCGAGCATCCCATAACAAACTCCTACTTGAGCATCTGCAATTTATATAAAAAAAAAAAACGGAAAAGAATAAGTGACTATGTGGTGTAGATTATTAATAATAATTATAATAATAATAATAATAATCTACACCGCTATGTGCTCGTAAGTCTATTTCTTAAGTGGACATTCTGAAAGTCATCATGAAATGTTTCAATCAAGTTCTTAAGTGAACTTATCCACTCAAAAGCCTATTTTCAATCAAGTTCAACCATATTAATCAATATTTTTGAATATTTATTGAAATATTTACCCCATTGTATTATATGAACCAATTAAATATAATTCATACAATCAACATAGACATGTTTCATTCATTCAATGTTCAAAAGATGCAGCGGACAAAGATGATAATGTGATATAAGAAATTAAGAATTCTTTTGTAACAAAAATGAAAAAGGTTTGCATCCTTCTCACAATGAGACCCAGAAAATAAACATATCAAAAACTTTCGAAATATATTCATATTAGGTTCATAAAAGAATAAAAGGTACCTCCTCTTGGTCTGTTCCCACAATTACATTAATAATTGATACTTTAGAGAAACCTAAATCGAATTTTTTGCACTCGAAAAATATCCTGAAATTAGGGGATATGGAATTAATTAAGTTTGAAACATTTGGTGGCGTTCTGATGAATCAGTGGGTCGAATTTGTAAGAATATTTGAACAAAAATTTAAACTTGGTTTCATATGTTTTTCTAATTAATTAAATAGTTTAACACATTGTTTTTTTTTAAAAAAAAAGAATTTGACATCTCATTATAAAAATATGCATTTTGGGTTTTTCATNTAATATTACCTTCCTAACAAATTATGCTTCCGAAGTCCAATTTGTTAACATAGCATTTAACTTTTTCAGTAATGCAAACTTGACAAGAATGGTACACATTTCGGCTTAAAGATGCCACACGTCGAGTAATAAATAAATTAATATTGCATATCGTAATTGATTAATTTTCGTCACCCCATCAGGTTTACCTGGATTTTTGTAAACATGCTACATAGATAAAGATGACTATTAACATTTGAAACTAGGATTATTTGCTTGAGTTAATCATTTGACGTTGCGAGGAAAGACGACAAACCTGTGACATTGAGGACAACGGTAAAGAATAGCCCCAGACAAGCCGTAAAATGTAGAAACTTATTCATATTGTTTGTAGATTAATGTTATTACATAAGCAAACTTGTGCAATGAAGCGATTTGTAAGCCTAACACCCCTATATATTTATACAGAAGTCGTTTTAATGTTTTGTTGTAATTCCAATTTGGATTACTTCTACCAACCTTTTTTTTTTTCTTCTCGTAGATTTACTTTTATTGATAAAAGAGAGCAAATTATAAAAACAATAATAATGATTTATTATACCGGCAATCTTTCAAATTACAGCACACATGCATGAAAAACTGGATTTGGAAAGTCATCCCAGCTAAAGATTGCAATATATAGATGAACATTTGTTCACTTTTAGTCATGCTTTATACCATATTCAATGTCTGAAAGAAAAAAGTCTTAGTTCAGTTTAGCCAAAGATTTTTTGTTTATTTAATTTTAACTTTTTTTTATATTGTATCATATCAGATTAGACAGTTTTGCTATGAAGTCAACAATTGGCTCTATAGTGGAGTCAATCTTCTATATACAACAAATAAACAGTACCATATTAAAAAAAATTATTACTATTATTTAAGACGACAACAAGTGCATATAATTATATAAAGTTAAAATTTATTTATATATCTGATTTTATATCTCCGATTACATTTCTTTCTATTTTGTTGATGCTACTAATTAAGACATTGATTAAGTATTTGTTCAAGTTGAAATATTACAAACATAAAATATGAGAAATATTACGTGAGAAATATTACATGTTACAAAACTTAAACTAAAAGTAGATTTATTAGATAAAATTTTCTGTTATATGTAATATGGTTATATATATATAGGGGTGGATCCAATGAGTCTCCTTAAAATGAGTACGTGAGATTTAATCTTAGCATTGATTTGTGTAGATCAATCAATCAGAATAAATATTAACTAGTACGAATCTCGTGCGATGCACGGGTAATATATATTCTATGAAATCAATATATAATACAACTTACCTATACTAATTTGTTGAAAATGTTATATGAAATATAAATTGTGCAAAATTACATTAAATATGTTTATTTAAAATTGGTACACGACCCGTACAGTGCAAGTAACTAATAATAAATTATATTATATTCATTTCGAAATAGGTGTCATTTTAAAATTTTTATTCAGAAATTCGATTTGACTACAATGTAATTCAAGTAAATACAAACGTACATAT